TTTAAAATTTAAAAATATATTTATATTATTCAAACTCAAACTAGTTTGCAAACTTCAAATCAAACTCAAATCAAACTAAAAAAGTTTGCTTCAAATCAAACTTAAATATTTTTTTTTAATGCTAGTTTGAGATCGAGTTTGATTTAAAATCAAATCAAACTCAAACTTGGCCTAAAGTTTGATTTGATTTGGGTTTGTAGGAACCCTACCAATCACAATAAAGAGTACCGTGGGGGCAAGATTATCTATTTTCCACCAAAGATGATCAATATGATTGGCGAATCGTGGATAATGAACATTATAAAGTACGGCTACAAACCCATATAGCAAAACTTACTAATGTTACAAAAACAACAATTAACTTACCGAGAAATAACATTTCAAGAAAGATCAATATTAGATGCAGAAATCAGAAACCTCATCAAACAGAAGGTAATAAAAGAACTCCCAACGAATATCACTTGTAGTGCTTGGATCCGATTTGCAAAATCCGGATACATCCGGATATAAAAAGAATAATGATATTATTTTTGAAAAGCAAATAATGAATCCAGATTTTTATTTTAGATTTATAAATCTGATTTTTTATCCGGATATTATGTCAATCAATATCAACCAATCAGAGAACTTCAACATGACTTTGATCACAATCCTTGTTTCTATTTTTATTATTTTTATTATTTTTTTTTTTAAACAATCCTGCCTTTATTATTGTGAACTGCTATGTGAAAACACTGTAACAAAATACATATATTTTTCATATAGTGAATAGTTCTAATCTAATAAAAACTCACTAGATATATTTAAGTACTATTCAATGCGACCTGCTATAACAACTATTTGTCTCACTTGGGATCCAAAACTTGCTTTAGATTTTGTATCGTCAAAGGATACCCCCTTGATCATTTGACAGGTTGTTATATACCACGTCAGGATCTCTTTTTTCTCTTCTAATTCTTCTTTCTTCTCAAGAGGCACGAGACAAAAGGGGAAAATTTTTCAACAGAGAATAACGAAAACGACCAGAAAAAAAGAAAAAACAGAAAAGAAAAAAGAAACACTGATTGCGAAAAAGAAAAAACATAAAAAGAAATCTAAAATCCTGAAGGCACTATTATAACCCGTGCATGGCTGATAAAAATTATATAACAAATGCAACTTTTGTATATCTCTACTGTAAAGCTTCACCTTAACGTTATATTTACTTTCCAACCTTCTCACCAACTCCGGATAGCTTCGTTGCCTGTCCTAATTTGTATCTTAAGCCAGGTGCTGTTGTTGTCCGAGGACCCGTGTCTCAAGCCACCTGCTACCGTAATTAGAGTTTCTAGGCTGAGTCTCGTGAAAAGCATCATATTCGTCCATAAACAAACACATGGTTGCATTCTGCTAATCTGTCCAAATTTGGGAAGTAAACAATGCCGATCTTTTGGAGAGAGTAAGCCAAATCCCCCACTTTTTGTAAAAAATTTTGGAAGACCGGTGAAAAAACAGAAGTGAGTAAGAGAGGAGTCATTTGGCTAAGTAAAAGAGTGTAGCTTGAGAATAGCAAGTTCTTCACTGTTCTCTGGTTATTTTGCAACAGATTGCTTCGTTAACGGAGGAAAACCACGATCTCCACCAAAATTTCATATACAAGTATAATTTGTTAATAATTTAAAGTTTGTTTATAAACCTGTTTTTTATATTTTAAAGAAAAAATTTTTTGTAAAAATTTTAATATTGTATATAATATAACTATTCTTTTTTTTTTTTTTTTTTAACGAACACTGCCTTTTTATTACTCAAATGTGGTGGAATGTATACACAAGTTATATATTATTTTTACATGATTTTCAGTACATCATTGGTAACTGATTTCTAACTAGTACCTGTTATGCTGCCATTACCAAGTTCGTATCTCAAGCTACCTTTTAAGGCACTGCTGAAACCCGATCTGTATCTCAAACCACAACCTTCCTAATTAGTTATTCCTTACCGCCAGTTCCCGAATTTCTATAACCCCCTTGAGTAAGACGTACCAAACTTTACGGCCCGGTATAGTCGTAGTTAACCTCTATTTACCTCACCATTGGTCA